GTATAATACCTGGCATCTAGAGAAACACACTTAGTGTGTCTCTCCATACATGTAAATATATATAGCATCTAGTATAATACCTGGCATCTAGAGAAGCACACTTAGTGTGTCTCTCCATACATGTAAATAAATATAATTTTGCACGTGGCCTCGTACTGGGGTCTTTCTGTGTGACGGGCAGGGCATGTTTTGGAAGTGGACTATTGAGCACTATATTCCCTTCCCATTCTCTGGGAGCTGAATCCTGATTGGCTAAAATAGTAGCCATGTTGTAAAGCCAACTGCCATTAAAAACACTTAAGAAATATATATTAAAAAAAAAAAAAAAGAATAAAAAATAAAATTAAAAACATAATATTAGATATCCCATAGCCCTTGCTTTGCAGGCGCATTTGATCATATTCGGTTTTTCGGTTAGCACTGCAGCAGTAAATCACTCAGTTTCAGGAATTGATTTCTGTTACATTTTTTACTATTTAAACTAGATAAGACGTTCAATGAGATAGACCAGGAAGAACAAGATGCAGAGGATAATTCCAATACACTCCTCAGAAGGAGGAGAGAAATTAAATTAAATGTGACTCAGCCAAAGAAAAAATTTACAATCTCGAACAAAGGAAAAGTAGAAGGACACGTAGATGCAGATCTACCAGACCCGAGTCAGCTTCAACCTGAGTATAGAGTTAAAGAGCGTATTTACGTGCAGCTAGCAGAGTTAACACATGAAGAACTCAAACCACTGGGCCATGAATTTGATGAAAGCTTATTGGCATGCTCGTTTAGAGGTGTTGACTGTTTGTAAGTACTAAATGTTACCTTGTTATCCGCATTGCTTCTAAAACGTTTTGTTGTTGTTGTTGTTGTTTTATTTTACTTTCAGCTTTCACCATGCAGAGTTTACATTTTACAACCATTATATAAATAGAGGATATTACACGGGCGCGCGGAGATACGAAATTTATCTTCGATTGTTGAAAAGATCTCTCACGAGTGAGCGCAGCAAACGAGTGAGTGATATTTTCAACACTCGAAGATAAATTTCGTATCTCCAAGCGCCCATGTATTTTCAACACTCGAAGATAAATTTCGTATCTCCAAGCGCCCATGTAATATTCTGTTTATTATATAATTATCCATAAAATCAACTTAAAAAGCTTTTTATTATTATGAAAGGTTTTTATTTGTAAACTAATAGCTTAAATAAACAGATTGAACGATATTTTCACATGTGAAAATATCAGTTTTTCGAAAAGGAGAAATAGAGGATATTACATGGACGCTGGGAGATACGAAATTTATCTTCGAGTGTTGAAAAGATCTCTTTCAAGAAAGAGCTTTTCAACACGAGAAGATAAAATTCGTATCTCCAAGCGGCCATGTAATATTCTGTTTATTATATAATTATCAATGAAGTATGTTTTGGCTTTTTCAGGCAATTCTTTCCGTGTATTTTTGAGTAGCCATCGCAATGGTGTTATTTTCACAAATAACATGTTATTTTCACGTGTGAAGATATCAATTTTTCGAAATAGAGAAAAATAGGTATTTCATTGGTAATTATATAATAAATATAGGTATCTTATGGATAGTTATATGATAATAATCATTATTGCGGATAGCTTTTGGAAAATGATGGCGCCTGTTTGTCGTTTAATGGTTAAAGTTATAAATTGGCAACTCCTATTTTTGCGTCACAAAAAAAAAACCATATTAAGGTTTAGAAATATTTGGTTGAAAATTTATGAACTTTCCACCTTAGGAAATCCACCTTAAAGGTAGTGTACATTTCTGCTTCGGAACTGAATGGATACCTAATCTACTCACTCTATCCTCAAGTCCCTGCCCAATGTTTTATTTATCGCGCCGTTTAACTCTCCACTTTGCTTTTAAATTGACGAAAATTCATTTCCCCACCTTGATTTTAAACATGATGATAATAACACGCATTAACTGTTTGCAAGTTGACCCATCTCATGTGGAGCATTCATAAGCAATACGTATACTAGTTCTATTGTTCATTTTGTTCAATAAATAGGAACTTCACAGCTTTTTGGCATTCATTTTGGCACTACAAGTATGGTAACTGTTATGTTTTCAATTCTGGAAGAGACAGACCAGTCCTGAGATCCACCAAGGCCGGACCATTACATGGTAAGGACCTAAGCTACAGTAAAAACCCGCATAAAAGAACAAGTGGGTTAAGAACACCCAGCCTGAATTTGGGCATTTTAAGTACCATGTAAATAAGAACACAATCAGCCTGAAATTTTAAAAAATTTTCTTAAAAAAAAAAAAGATCAATATTGATTACCAGTAGCAGACTCCAAGCCGGACCTGACATTAATTTATTTTTCTACTGTTTTGATACAGTTATTATTGCAGTCAAGATTTGTTTAATAACATTTTTGAACTTACACATTGATATCATCTACATGTATTGGTAGTCTATATAGTAATACTGTATATATTTTAGAAACATTTATTTTAAGAACACCTTAAGAATACCTTCAGGCTGATTTTTCAGTAAATACCCGTTAAATAAAAACAAAATCAGCCTCAACTCCAAAAATGGGTGTTTTTTTATGCGGGTTTTTACTGTAGTGTAAAATTCTTATCAATGATCAAAAATCCTGAATTATGATTTCTACTCTGTGGTCTCCTTCGACATGTGCGCAGGTATAGAGATGCAGCTTTATGTGAAACAGGAGGAATACGTGGATCAGCTCAGCCAGGAAGCTGGATACCGCATTGTTATTAGCCCACAGGGAGAAATGCCTTTTCCTTTTGAGGAAGGAATCAGCGTCGCCCCAGGACAATCTATGTCTATTGGAATTAGAAAGGTAACACACCTGAGAATATTTAAATGCATGAAATATTTCTGCATATGAACCTTGAACATACCAGGAATATTGCCTTCCTATGCTCTGTCTTAACGTGTTATATCTTCACCTCATTGAATTATTATCACGTCGCAGTACTTTGCAAATAGTCCCCTTTACAGTTCCCTACGCCATCTTAAAAGTGGCCGTGCCTTTGCATCAAAGTGAGACGAACGGTGAGCTTGCAATGATAAACACATGTCAATAATTGTCCAAGGGGCAATTGGAAAAATTCCGCTAAGTCTTTGGCGTATACTTGCAAATAACGGGTGAGCCAAAATCGCAAAAACCGACTAAAGTTGTATTCCTAAACCTATATAAGCAGTAGTCTAAGAGTATGTACTTTTTGATCAACTAAAGAAATATGAGTGGGAAAACATCGCAAATCTTTCACTTGATTTTTCAAGGTTGTCATCAAACGTGCCGATCCCTTTAAAAATGGCAGTTGTGGAGCTTCAAGGGAGCTGCGCCCGGGAAACTTGTATCGTAGTGCGTACAATGCAAAGTACTCTGCCATGGTAGGTGACAAATAGCAAAAGATTCAATTGTAAGTGTTTCAACCCTTATGTTTAAAACATGTCTGAGAAAAGAGTATTAAATATTAATCGAACTTTTAAGTTTGAATTTAAAAAATAGATCTAGTCTCCTAACTCTAATACCCAACAATCTGCTGCCTGAATCAAATCGAAATTCGAAGTCGGACGGCAAGAGAAAATGAACTAAGAGAAGGAATCCTCCTTATATAGCTTTGTAACCATCATGTGCACAGTTTGATGCTATTTTTAAACCATTTGTTTTTCTGCACGCGCATTTAATGGCGCGCTCTACGCTGTTTCCTAACGTTTTTGGGGTTTTTCCGTTGTTTCGACTCTTGGCAAATACGACAGGAAATTGAAGTAGTAATTTGTTCAACTTTCTGGAGTATTTTTACATTCATTTTCCAAAGCTTTCGACCTACATCGTCATCTTGAGGGCAGATTTGAATATTTGAACATAAGAAAAGCACAAGAAAACGTTAGCAAACAGCGTAGAGCGCGCGCGTACTATGCGCGTGCAGAAAATCAAACGATCAAATAAATAATATCATTGGATGATATTTTTAGAATAGATTCTAAAAATAGCATCAAAGTGTGCACATGATGGGGCACGGGGATTCCTTCTCTTAGTTCATATTCTCTTGCTTACGGTCATTAGACGACCTAAAAACGGATGGACTGTTTGCTTAGATGATTTTATTCTAATAACTCCACGACCACTATTGTAGGGATATTTATACTAGGAACGCCTTCACTCTGTAATTTATTTGTTTTTCATATCTATATCTATATCTAATTTATTTGTTTTTCGTTATAGGCTTGTAGAGAATCCTGTTTAGCTTATAATCAGCTGTTTCGCTGTGGCTGCTTGGAATATAGGTTCCCAGAAGAAGGGTTCGAAGTGTGTGATTCTACGAACAAGACAATAGGTAAACACAAATAATTAATAGAAAGCTAAATGAGCAAAAGGGGAATTCAGCGAAAATTTATATATATTTTTTTCTTTATACGTTATAGTAAATTGCTTGCGCAGGCTTCATGTTCAATATCAAAATAACGGGCTCAACTGCTCCAAGGCCTGTCCAATAAGTTGCAAGTAAGTTGTCCACTATCAGTTATTTGGAAGTATAAGTAGAGGCAGAGGCAGAGGCAGAGGCAGAGGCAGAGGCAGAGGCAGAGGCAGAGGTAGAGGAAGGAAAGGCGGGTCAGTTCTAACAAAACTTAACAATTCTATGATCTCCTTAATAATAAACTTAATAATTTCATGATCTCCAACTTTGACTCTTTTAGTGAGGAACATTAYAAAACGTCTTCATCGTCAGCTGCTTGGCCTTTCAAAAACTATGAGGTACGTATTTCGTGTACATTCTTTTTAATTAACTAAATTAGGTCAATTAGATATAGCTATTCTTTGCGCATGAGGACGCCATAGCTACCATTGTAAAAATTTTAGAAAAATAAATTTTTTGGTGGGTTCTTCTTTTATATCTTTATGAAGGTCAAGAAAAGACTAAGCCATGATTTTTGTTATTTCACTCCCTTGAAAATGAATGCCAGCCCACTCTACTAACGTTTCGTCCTATAGGAAGATCTATGAAGGACCAATGTTCGAAAAGTCAGTAAAGTAACTGAAACTTTTTTTGCACAGTATTTTTGAAAGTTCCCTTCTTATGCACTAGTTACCCTATTAAATACACCAACACAGTCCCATCTTATATCCCCTAGTCATTTAATACCTGGCAATCCTTTTACTAAACCAAACATGGTCGATTTTCGAGGATTTGTTAAAAGTGGTGAGTTATGCTCATAAAGAAAAGAAAAATACCACCGGTCTTGATTTATCACAACATTGCTCAAGGGTCTAAGAAAAATACTCTTTATTAAAGATATATTTAAAGAAAATGCTTAACATCGAGGAGGAATCATCAGAAATACTAAGGTAAACTACAATTACTTGATTAAAATGACAATCAGTTAGCGAAAAAGATTAATAAATGATGATTTGAAAAGGAATACTGGGGGCGACTGATGTTAAACACGTTCACTTGAATAGGATGTTGAAAAGGTACAGGAATACTGGGGGGGGGACTGATGTTAAACACGTTCACTTGAATAGGATGTTGAAAAGGAAAAGGAATACTGGGGGCGACTGATGTTAAACACGTTCATTTGTGTAGGATCTTGAGTAGCAATGAGGCGAAATGTAGTTAGAGTGCAAACAATATAGCCGTGAAACTTTAGTAATACTAAATAGCACAATTTCATTGCAAATTCCATTGTTTTCTATTGTTTAATTAGCACTATTTTGTACTATTTAGTAATTAGTCTTTCACGGATTAATTGTTTGCACTCTATTACCATATCTTTTTATGTACATGATGCATTTTAGCATAGGAATTAAATGAAAAATAAAATTGTGTGTGTGTGTGTTTTTTTTCTTTTACATTAAGTAAGAGTTAATTACCGAGAACGGAGGCAATAAGCAAAATACATCCCGAGGGAAGCAAAAAGAGCTCAACCAATCCGAATAGTCACAAGTAGCTTAGCCAATCAGAATAGTCACGAGTAGCTTAGCCAATCAGAATAGTCACAAATAGCTTAGCCAATCAGAACAGTCAGCAAAATCATTTATTTGTTAGTATCCTATAATATACGACACAAAAAAGGCATGCACTTGATATTGAGTGATATGATCGGAAAACATCTTATTATTGATCAGACAGGAAATGTTAAAGGTCAAGATCTTTTATGAAGAACTGAATTATCAAGAAATAGAGGAGAATGTTTCCTATGACGTAAGTGAAAAAAACTAAAATCTTTCTGACTTGACTTGACAATGATCTGAAATGCAACGACTGCTCATTTATTGCATGATAATCGTCATCTATTCTTGTTAGATCCTTGAGAATTAACTAGTACTCAGCACAAAATGTATTGTTATATACCAAATGTCAAAGTCCGTTTTTACGTACTCTGATTGGACGAAAGGATCTCACGTGAACGTCAACAATTTTTGATCTTTCCCCGGCAACGGATCTCAGTGGGCAACTAAATGTTGTTGACTGCTAATCACTGTACCGGAAGTGATTTTCACGGAAATGTAAGTTTTTCCAAGTTTTACGAAATCCAATAATCGAATAATCAGAAAAATTATTTTGTTTATTATTTGGTATATAACATAACTATCATTGACGGGAATCTCGGGAAAGCAGTGTGTTTTGAGGTCCCGAGACGGTTATGTTTCACGAGGCGAAGCTTGTTTCCCTCTATCGGTCCCAGTCAATAAGTGCCAACTGGTACCCTGAGTGGAAAAGTAAGTGCGCCAATGCTGGGTGAGAGACGGGGGTCCCTGTGCGGTCAAAGTACATGGAAGTCTGTTTTTCACCTCAAAAATAGTAGATGGGATTCGTATTGGAAGGTGTGAAATAAAAAAAAATCTTACATTTTATAAGTGTAATTATTTAGTAATATTGTTTCCTTTGATCTTCTTAGATAAATGATTTCCTATCAGATATCGGTGGCCAGCTTGGCTTATGGCTTGGAGTTTCTGTTCTGACTGGTGTTGAAGTGATTGAACTAATTTTGATGATATTCTTGAATTGTTGGCAACCAAAGAAAAAAGCCGCTGCGACAGACATTGAAAATCATGGTACGGTAATAAATTTATTTTTGAAAAGGTTTCTTTCTCTTTAGTAAAAAGCTGTACCCCATTCTTTAAGTAAAATGGTCTAAAAAAGAATATTCTAGTAGAATATTCTAACTATGAATTTAACTAAAGCTAATGGACCCAATAGACTACTTGGACGATACGGCGGACATTTTGCCAGGGAACAAAACAAAACAAAGATGACGGAAAACATTTAGAGTTTTGTGTGCTTGTCTTGGTTTTATCGGTAAAGGCCATCGAGGTACGGTCTTATATGAACTTTTTCATGTATTTGGTTGTGGCGAGCTGTTAATGTCAATCGACGTCATTTCTGTAAGAATGCTTATTTGCCCGCTTGGTAAATGATACACATAATTATAAAATAACTGTTATGAATGTCGCGTTCTGATTGGTTTGGAGCGCGTGCTTTATGAGAGCACATTGCACGCGCGCGCACTTGCGTCATTCCTATCTATTATTGTAATTTGTATTTTATAAAAAAAATTAAAAACTTGCTTGCTGTGCTGTGTGCCGTTAGAAAGCACTTGGGGATTGGCAGAACACTCGAGAAGTGTCCAGAAGCACTCCGCTACGCGTTATTTCTATCTGAAATAGAAAAGGGCACAGGATTTCCTTCTATAATCTCCATAGTGGAGTCATAGTGGATGTTTGTGCATTGATGACAGTAAAGCGAAAATTGAGTTCATCAAGTGACTTTTCAGTATAAATATATGGTTGGTCGAGGCGCGCAAAGCATATGCTAGATAAACAACAAATCGATATTTAAAACTTACTCCTGTGCTGTTCTTGTGATTGCAGAAATGAGAGCAAAAGTAGGAGAACCACATAAACATCCGTTTGGCTACAGCACGTGAGTGGCTGTTGGAGTATTGATGTAACCTGCCAAAGGTTGCAATTGCAGGAGAAAAAGCAAGGGCTTCAATGTCAAACAACCATCAGTTCTAATTTTCTGTTTTACATTACTTTTTTATTACATTTTTTTGCAAATTTCGATCACATTAAAATGTTTTGAAAGCTATGTGATAATTATTAATATCTGTTGTAATTCTAATGAAAGGGTATTCCTCTTTTATTTTAGTTCAAGGTTTTAATTTAATCAGTGAACATTATACATATATATTTCATCACAGTGTGCGTTTACTACTTATTTGTTTCCCGTAGTTTGTTTATTATTTTCTATGCTTTCGTATCAAAATTTTGGTTGGCTGGTAGTCTGGAGGTTTGGTGGCCTTGCTTAG